GCTCAGATGGTCGAGCCATTGTCTCGTCGCCCTGCCAGCGCTGCCATGGTGGTCGAACTAGCGCATCTTATGGTGTCCACGCTGATCCGTTTGCCATTCGCAGGTCTAGGAGTTTATCAACTGGACAAGCACGGCCATGCTCACTGGTTGCATAACGTCATTGCATGACAACTTTTGGAACCCTAACCTACCTAGATTGTCCAGTCGGTGGCACTTTGAGCTCGTCTGGCGCGCCTCCTTGAGTATCCAGTGTTTGGGAAGTGCTGCCTCTTCCGCAGCAGAGCGTTCGAGCTGGGCACCGGCACTTTTTCGCTCCAGCTCCAAGTTGCTGACCCCTGTCCCGCCAACTGTGGAAGGGCCACGATGAGCGCCAGCAGGAGCCCCGTACCCCGGCTGGACAAGCTGGCCAGTGTCCTGGTTCCGGACGCACCCCGCGCTTCAGCCGCAGAGTCAGGGGACGAGTCCCAAGCCCAGGCCCGCGCCAGCTCAGCCAGCGAGGCATCCCACCCACCTGCGCCAGACGCCCACCACAGCAACGCTGACCCGCGGCGCGGCTCCAGGAGTGAGAGGAAGTCCCCGCCCCGGTCACCCCAGGCTCGCCGCCATGGGAAGACGTTTGGCGTCCCCAACTTGGCGCCCCTGAGCGCCATCATCTCTGGCGCAAATGGCAGCCATGGTCCGGCAAAGAAGCCCAACAGCCAGACCGGCAGAATGAAAGCCGTGCTGCGGGAGAGGGCGGTCTCACGTGGGGTGCGCAGGGCAGGCTTGTCGGCGGACGCGGGTGCCACCTCATCACCCGAGCCACAGGAGGCAGCTAGCCCTGGCGTCAGACTGCCCACCGAAGCGGCCCAAACAGCAGAGCGATCAGGGGTGACTGCCAGTGGGGCGGACAGCCCCCCTCTCCTGTCTCCGGAGTCGTCGAGCGCCGCCATGCCCGACGCCGCGCTGCTGCCCATGGTCACAGAGGAAGACATACAGAGAGCCTTCCGCTACTTTGCGGGGGGGAGGGGTGAGCTGTTACGGTCTGAGAGCGAGTCTGTTGCTTCTGTCCACCATCAGGGCAGGGCTTCCATATGTGGCAGCTGAGTGATTTGAAGGTTCATGCTTGATAGCTTGTTGGCTTGTTGCAAATTGCAATCATGGCGCTCTGTTGGATGAAAAAGGCAGTTGCAACTTCTGAGGAAGCATCGATGGTGTGCTCTTTTCGTGGTCTGCTCCTTGCGCCCCTCTGAGCTGAGCCCTGTGGTGCGCTGCTGTGCAGCTGAAGACGAGTTCACGGACGAAAACTTGCTGGAGCGCTGCTCCCCCTTCTATCCAGGTAAGGTGCCCAGGGTGCTCTTCCCGAACCCTTTCTCTTGACGCCCTCCCAAGTCACTGAGTGCAGTGTGGTCCAGCAATGGCTTACTTAGATTAAGGCCGCTCAGCCCATCTTCCAGGGTACGATTCTCAGCGGTGGACCCGTTGCAGCTTGATCGTCAATGTCGTTCTTGAGTTCCTTCATGACAGAGTTTCAAGGGTGCAACGCTCAAGGTCCTTAAGGCAAACGGTAGATGATGCACTATCGGATTTTGCCGATGCTATGAAGCTGGCACCTTCAGCGGTGCCCAAATAAGGAGCCGTTCAGCATATCCGACGCCTGAGGTGGCAGCATGGCGCTCGTGTGTGTGCAGCGCTGACTGGCAAAGACGTGCGGTTGCTGATGGGCCACGGGGCCATGTCTGCCGACAAGCTGCGCAAGGTCGTCCACATCGCCCGCCACCGGGACCTCGCCGCCTTCGACCCCATCGCAGAGGCCTTCAAGGTGGGTCCTGCCGCACACACGCAGAAAAGGAAACATGGGTCTCTTTTGCCGTCTGTGATGCTCTCTCTGCAGTGCCGCTGTCCCTGCGGGGCAGTGGTTTGACACGGCCGGGCGTCATTTTATGCGTCTTCCCTCTTCTGGCCAGCGCGACTGTTGCCGATGTGGGCCTCACCAGCCGGTTCCGTTGTGGTGCAGGTATTGGACCCGCGCGAGACGGGCCACGCGGACATGGACGTCCTGGCGGACCTGCTCGCGCACCTGCCGGGCGTGCACCGCCTCACCGACGAGGTCAGCCACGCGCCGCACTCAGGACCGCGGTGACGAAGTGATTTGCAAGTCGTGTATTTTTGAAGTGAACAGACCAACGAAGAGGTGGGAATCCTCAGGTCGGGCCGTAAGGGGGCCTGCTTGATTGCCTGGCAACAGCAGCTTCTAGTCGAGCACCGGGTAGGAGGAAAACTAGAGCTGGCTCAGGCTTAGCGACGGATTGCATTCGAGCGCTGGAGGTTATTGCAATTTGAGGTGACAGTCAACGGCAGGACATCGTCATCCCGTCTTCTATGCGCAAAGGTTTTTGGAGCCGACGTCCGGTTCTCATACCCAACCAATCCCGGCAGTCCGGGCCCCTGTCCTTTCTGTGAGCTGATACGTGACCCGATGCGAAATGTCGTGTCAAGTAGAGCCCGGTCTGATGCTTCAGTGCCCCCGCCTGGCTGCAGGACCGCAGGTTCCTGCTCAAGATCTCGGACATCGACGGCGACGGCCTCATTAGCGAGGCCGACTTCCGGCGCTGCAGCACCTTCCTACCCCCGACCGCCCAGGACCAGGCCGTGGCACGAGCCGCAGCACTGAGGGCGTATTACTAAGCACGCCGGCCCCGGCAAGAAGCGCCCCAGACTCAGGCCATGGGGCGGGTGAATTTTCGCCGAGTTCCACCATGCTAGGGGGCGTGAGTACTAACGATCTGGCAACGCGTTGCGCAGTTTTAACACTTGCAATTGCAAGTGGGATTGAACCAGCCTCCATGGCCGGCGGACTCGAATTGCGACAGTAGCTGGCGCACTATTTCACGCTTAACTTAAGTATCCACTGTCTGGGCCAGGCACATGCCTTCAACACTAGGACTATAAACGCATATCTGTATGATACATATAGCGGCACTAGATCTATCCTTGAAAATGGTCCATGTCTGAAGATCAAGTGCACGATCGCCGTCGCTATCAGGCTGCGCAGGTTCATTACATTTACGGCTTGTGCCGGCGAACTCACAGACAATTGCACGGTCATGCATGATCTTGAATGATGCCAAACAACGGCCTCTCGGTGAAGATAAATCGAATAGCAATGAGGCCGGCCGGCCGTATATACAAGTGATTGAAGTATGGCCCTAGCTATACTTATACCGGTTAAAGTATAGTCAACTATACATGGCCGCCTTGGACTCCAGCTCATGATCTCTAGCCCGCATGCACTCATAGCATCGCGCGATCATGAAAAATCGTGCACTGAGCTTCAAAGTTGGCCGGCGCGGCCCGGCCCGCGGCCCTGTCACGCGCATCAGTGAGCCGCGCGGCATAGATGGCATGCACCGATCGAGCTATACTAAGCTTACTAATTCCAATTATGTGTGTGGGCAGCTCGAAGCATGTTGCAAATACTTGGAAGCGTCAAGCTATCAAGTTGGGGCTCAACCATCTCAAACGCGGATCGGACATGCATGAAAGGGCTGATCCGAAACCGTAAGTGGGCCACCTTATAAAGTGCCGCACAGACAGTACAGTCAGATTATTGTTATTGAAGTCCGTATTTTCCTCTCTGTCATCATTGTTAGGATGGTAGCGGCCGCCCTTCCGGCGGCGCCCGGTCCGCCGAGCAGGGCGCTCAGGCGGCGGTAGCCGTCCAGCACGGTGTCCCGCGCGCCGCGCTGGTTGCGCAGCAGCCCGAGGGCGGCCGCTGCCACGTCCTCGGGTCGGGCCGCGTCCTGGATGAACTCGGGCACCAGCTGCGCAGCAAGGCACGCTAAAGTGGGCGGGGCGACTTCGGCGGACGTCACAAAGCCAACACGAGATTGCGGGGCATCAGGCCGGTAGATAAGCTCAAGTCACCGCTCTCAGTAATCCACTGAATAGGACGTGCAATGCACTGAACAGTAGGGAAGGCAGGACATCAGATGCAACAACGGCTTTGGGCGTGCAGTGAATGTCGCTCCGCTCACCGGCTCTTCTAGGATCAGGTTGACGAGCGAGATGTGCGGGACGCTGAAGTGGAACAGCGTGCGCGCCAGCCACGCAGTCACGGCATCGATGCGATACACCACCACCTGCGGGACCTGCGCAGGGGCAGAGCAATGAGTGTCGTCAGCACCTCGTCCCTTAAGCGGACTAGCAGAACGGCCTGGCCCACCGTTCACTCGGACATCTTGCGATACAGACTTTCATCTTCTGTCTCTACTTGCATCAAGTCTCCTCAAGATCCGATTTTGCAGGATGCTTCAATCGGCGACCAGAGGCCCCGTAAAGGAGCTGCTACTCTTCTGGCTCCCAGTTGGCGGGGGCAGGTGCGGTACCTGGAAGAGCGCGAGCTCCAGGTTGACGGTCCCGGACTTGGTAAGGGCCAGGTCCGCGGCCGCGAGCACCGTGTGAGAGTCGCCCTGCGCAACACGGTATGCGGAGCAGGCACGCATGTCAGAGGGGCGCCGCGCATCAGGGGCGTGTGTACCAAATGGGCCGGCTGGCGTGATACGAGAATAGGGCGATCCTCCGTTGGCGAGGAGACCTTCCGTTCGATCTTTCGAAGAGAAGACACCAGCCCACAGCATGGCCAAACCAGTGGCTTGTTTTGATGCAGCAGCGGCAAATGTCGACCTACTTATATCCTGAAGAGGCTGGAAACTAAGCTAAAAAGAGAGAGCCAACTGCTAAGAAAGTAACGTACCTTCCAAATGGTTGCTTCAATTGAGTATGATTGCAGGGACTCTCTGATCGCGTTCTCTAAGTCCGAAGATACCACCGGTATGAAGAAGCGGAGGGGACAGTCCCCGGAACTGCAGATGACAACGTCTGGTTTCAGAGAAGACATAGTGCACTCCCACTTCAAGTCGCTTGGTTGAAACGTTTGAGCATCCACTAAGTTCGTTCCCATTAAACTGCAACGGGCCCACTAGTGTCCTTTTCGAGGATCTGTAAGTCAAAAGCTTAAGGCTGCTCGAAAAGTCGCCAAAATGCCAAACGGATCAGCTAGACATGGCAATATTGAAACCCATCATTAGCAGGATTTGCGGGTAAGTCCGTTTGACAGGGTTTTTGGGGCCGGGATCCCGTAAGAACGTCGAAGCGTTCCGATCACAGCGAAGAACCGATCAGAAACGACCTGTGCGCTTTTCTCAGAATCTCCCCAGAGGATGTCAAAAGATTCGGTGTAGCATGACGTACTACTTTATACAAAGCCAGTTGCTTATCTTGCCCTTATCTGTTCGTAAGATTGCCTGCTGAAAAGGTGAAAGCAATCAAGCAAAACACGCCCAAAGTATTTTTGTCTTTGCAACGCTCCTTGACAAACTCAGTTCTGGCAAGAACGGGTCAAAGCAACGGTTCGTTCAAGGCCTTCGACTGTCAATCTAGGCCCAACTGGCCCTATGGCTGTGCCCCACCGTCCCTGCCCCTTACCTGGCCCACTCTTCCTGCACTGCCTGAGCTGCGCGCGCGAGAACCGGCCACACGTGGCGCACCTCCTGCGGCCGGGACGCTGGCAGCAGCGCCACCACCAGCGTGCCCGCACTCACGCCCAGCGCAGCGCGGGCAGCTGGGCGGTCAGGCTTGGAGGCAACGGCGTCCAGGAGCGGATGGCCCACCATTTGAACCGAGCCCCCAGCCCCTTGGAAGTAGCCAGCCTGTACTCAAAAGGACAGCGCACTGTATTGGAGAGGAGACTGAGAGTAATCTGTTTGGCCCGGTGCTCCTGTTTAAGTAGAAAGGGGGTCACTTGACTGCCCCAACCTATGAGAGACCTCTAAACTCCACACATCTTGACGAAGCTGTCTTCATGAGAAGACTTTAAGGTGAGCCGCACCTCTCTAGGGTAGGTGCACAAGATGGCGTCGGAGATGGCACACAGCGCCGGCGTGCGCGCCTCATTCCAGAGCCACTCGTTGGGGGGCACGTAGTACACCACCGGGCAGCCATACTGGCGCTTGAGGTAGCGGCCAAACGGGATGTTGACCCCCGGATAGTCAATAAGAATGACGAGGTCGGGCGGCTGGTCCCGCAGGAAGGCGCGCACTTGGGCCTGGAGGCGCAGCGTGGGGAGGACCAGGGGCAGCGCCTCCAGCAGCCCAATGGAGCTCAGGCCGCGGTTGTCGCCTGCACACCGAGGGGCACATATGAGGACAAAACAAGAGCGACCGTTCCAGCCATGAAGAACTGTCCTGGGGAAGGCTTCCCAGAACCCTGACTGCACATGTGCGTACACAATGACAGATCAGGGCCCCCATCTTCGCCAGGATCTCCAAAACCTTCCGCACACAAGTCTCGCATTCTGTACTCAAGTGCTTGCCTCCGAGGCAATCCCAGCAAGGATTGCATGGCGCTTACCTACCAGCGTGACTCCCGCCTCCTCAATGCCTCCACCTCCCAGCGCGCACACCGTGACCTCGTGCCCCGCTGCCTGGGCTTGCTTCCGCACCTCGTGGACCAGGCCCGTGGCGTGCATATCGCCTGAAACATCCCCGGTGCTGATGAACACTCGAATTGGCCTCCCCCTGCTCTCGTTCCTGCCTGGACTCCGCAGGTGGGACTCATCTTGCACCAGCACATGTTCCCAAGCTGCTGTGTCTGAATCTCCAGCGACAGCAGTAGCTGAACACGTCCTTCTGCATTGTCCACTCACGCGCTGGCGTGACCAAGCTGGTCGGGGAACAAGATTGTCACTGCAGAGAGAGGTACGAGAAGGTCTGGTTGGCAGACTGGTGCTGCAAGCTGGAGGTTTTCTGCAACGAATTGGATAAGCTCGGGGGAAGTAACTGATTGGGCTCGAAGTGTTAAAACTGTCTGATAATGTGACTGCAGCCTGTTTGCCAATGCTGACTGACTGGAGCTTGGACGGGGGCAGAAAGAGCTCAGCCACGCCAGCCATCATAGGTGCGGTGCATCCGTCGCTTTCATTTCTTGGGAACACTGTAACAACTACTTGCAAATCTGCCCGTCCCTCTTCTCAAGGACAGCTGCAATGCCATTTCTTTATGCACTGCCCACCTCAACTGAAGTCAACTGACGCCCCCATTGGCAGCTTGTAATGGGAATCAGAGCGCTTGCTACTGCAGCAGCCACAGATGGACCTGACGCCCATTCCGCAAGCTATTTTTAGACTAGCGCTCGAGCAATCTGCTTCAAAGGACTCGACTTGTTTGGCCTGTTTTGATCGTTAAAATTAAACCGCCCAAAAGGCCACAAATTTAATTGGACGGCAAAGGAACGGCCTCCGCACGGCAACTTATTTGATTACGATAAGAGGACTCCACAAACCACGAAACAGCCAGGCCAGAAACGGCGGTTTCGGTGACGGGAGACAAAACGGCAGGTATAAGCAGCAGGCCAGACTTGGGAAACTCCATTTCATAGGTCCAGGACCAGTGGCAGGACCAGCTGGAAGCAGTGCAGTTGCCAGGACGCGTACGCAAGGCAAAGGAAGGCAATTGAGGAGGATCTCGTTGGGCAATACTGGAGGAGGCTTGTAGGACCTTCGGCGACCAGGCTCTCTCGTCAAAGCAGCTTCTTGAGGACGATTCCGGACTTCTCATGGTTCCAATGATCTGCGCACATTGGCAAACCAATTCTGCATGATGAGTCTTTTGTGACCCTCTGCAGCAAAGCGTTTTTTCGAGCTCGAACATGGCTAGCTCGGGGCAAAAAATCCTGTCCCGATGCAGCCTAGCGTGCCTCCTTCTCTGCTTGTTTGGGCGCCCCGCTGCAGGTTTTGATATCTGGTCCGAAAAGCAGCCAGCGGTGGAATTGCCCAACATAACTGCACTCAATCAGACTGGGACTTTGAATGCAACTATGGCAGGAAATAGAACCGCAAAGGCCAAGGTTGGAGTGCTGAGTTGGCTTGTAGCTGAAGGGGTGCTGGATCCAGCTTGGGTGAGTGAGCAGGACTCTGTGCACGACATGCCCGTAACGGAGCTGGACAAGACAACCAAGATGCGGATAGAGAAGTACATACGGGAGAGCAACAAGACCTTGGCCGATTTGGCAGATGTGGAGAAGCGGGAGAGCTACATTGAGGGCATTCTCAAGAAGATGAACATCGAGGAGGCAGAGAAAGGGTCGGGCCGCTTCAATCAGACCATGGAGAAGCAGGAAGGCAAGCTGGAGACAGTGGCCCGGGTTGGGAAGCAGCATAAGCAGGGAATAGCGAAGAACGAATCGGAAGCAGTCACCCTCGGCACAGTGAAAGATCAGGAAGCTGCAAATTCGGGATCCCATTTAGGGTTTTCTCGTGGAGAGGACAGCGGGAAAGCAGGCGTGCAAGAGTCAGCTCAAGAGATTGAGGAGCGTGCCGCAAAGGCAGAAGCAGACAAGAAGGCCGAATCGGAAAGTAGAGAGGAAGAGGGTGATGGCAAGGAGGACGTTCCGCGCCTTATCGACTCTCAGGACAACGAGTACGTCATCAGCAACCCAGGCAAAGGCTTGAATCAGATGCAGCTGCAGCAGGACCTGACTCTCATCTCTGACATTGTCAAGGTGAGCTAATGTCAAGTCCTGAATTGCCTCTGAAGCAAGATGTTTTGATTCCATGCCTGGACTCTGTGCTGCGCCCCTGTGGTACCTCTGACTTTCTGCCCCCAAGTGCCAAAGCCGGCACTGACGGAGTTCTCCAGCTCTACCCTGCTGCCCCACCGCAAAGCCCGCAGTGTGGTCTCAGCCCTGGCTCTTGCTGCAGGTCATAGTGGCGGCGGCTCTGGGGGGCCTGCTGTGCGGTCTGCTGGGCCAGCCGGTGTTGCTGGGGTACATTGCTGCGGGCATGCTGGTGGGGCCAGGCGGCCTGGGCCTGGTGCACGAGCTGGTGCAAGTAGAGACGCTCGCGCAGTTTGGCGTGGTGTTCCTGCTGTTTGCGCTGGGGGTGGAGTTCAGCATCGTGAAGATGCAGGGGGTCCAGGCGGTGGCCATCGGGGGGGGCACGCTGCAGATCGTGGTGGCCATGGTGCTGGGGGGCATGCTGGGGTCTACCGTCACTCAGGGGGTATTCGTAGGTGAGCAACGGGCGGCACTGCTTGAACATCCGTTCATTAGGACGAGGTCGCTTGTATTGGCGTCTTTACTTGGCTGTCAAAGTTGGAAAGTTTCTTCGCCTTGGGCCTGAAATCGCTTGGCAGCTCACTGCGTCTTGTGTCTTGTGCCGCGCAGGGGCGTTTCTGTCCATGTCCTCCACCACTGTGGTCATCAAGTGCCTGATGGACACGAGTACGGTCAACACTGAACACGGCCAGGTGGGCAAAGAATCCTACTGTCTAAGGCTGGCAAGGCCTCAAGGTTTTAGATGGGACCAGCCTGCTTCTCTGTACCCCACAAAGAACCGGGTGTGTTGCAAGTGAAGTCCACCGACCTTCCAAGAAGTCATGGTGAAACCTTTCCACTTTCGTCGAAACCACAGATACTGCTAGGCACATTATTGCTCGTGTCGTTGCTCCCACCCTTCAGCTCGTTCTTCGCCTGTACTTCAACTCCCCCCCGGCGCGTGCGCTGCAGATCATGCTCGGCACGCTCATCCTCCAAGATTGCGCCCTGGGCCTGCTCCTGGCCGTCCTGCCGGCGCTGGCCTCCAAGGACAACAACCCGCTGGCCATCGCGGCGTCCCTCACGCGCGAGGGCGTCCTGCTGCTGGGCTTTGTAGGGATGGCGTGGCTGGTAGCGCGCCTCTTTGTGCCGCGCTTCCTGCGCATGCTGTCCGCGCTCGCGCTGCACGACAACGAGCTGTACCAGCTGGGCGTGGTCGCCATTTGCCTCTGCGTCGCGCTCCTCTCCGAGTTCCTGGGGCTCAGCCTCGAGGTCGGCGCCTTTGTGGCGGGGCTCATGCTCTCAGGTGAGGCCGCAGGTTGGTCAATACGAGGAGAATCAGGTTGTTGATGTGCCCACCCCGATGAGCCTCTGGAGACGGGACAAACAAGCATCGGTTGTGCTAACGGGTGAGGACAGATGCAAGGACGCCGGAGATGCGAGCACTGCCTGTCTAACTTCAGGACCGAGTACAGTACGCTTATGACATAGCTGTCGGGTCCAGCTTCTGATAAGCTCGACACGGAAAAGGCAGCTACTCGAACGGGTTACCTGTTGTCTCCTGATTGATGAACGGGACAGCCGATGACATTTTCAATGGACCACTTTGCAGTAATTTTGAAGCAAGTCGGACAGTGGCGAACATGCGGCAAAAGAGTAATCATGTTAAGGGGAATTTTGCGTCGACCAGGCCGCAAGCCAGCGTTTATCAGCTCGTTGAAAGTTCTGTAGCAAGGCGGTTCGTTTCAACAGCTCGCATGCATTTCCGTGGATACTCGGGACGATGGCGACCGTCTCCGACCTGCTTCGACGTTCCATTGTGCGCCGTGCAGGGTCGTCGTTCAGCGAGCGCACGCTGCACCAGGTGGAGCCGGTGCGCAACATCTTTGCGGCGCTGTTTTTGGCGAGCGTGGGCATGGTGATGCACCCGCTGTTTTTGTGGGAGCACATCGACGTGCTGCTCACCGCCACCGCCGTCGTCTTCTTCGGCAAGACCATCCTGGCCACTGTCATCGTGCGCGCCTTCAGCTACGACTGGGGCACCGCGCTCAGCGTGGGCATCGCGCTCGCGCAGATCGGCGAGTTTTCGTTCGTGCTGTTGAGCAGGGCGCAGGCGCTGGGGCTCGTGTCGAGGAGCCTGTACCTCCTGCTCATGGGGACCACGGCGCTGAGCCTCGTGCTCACGCCCTTCGCGTTCAAGATCGTACGGCACATAGTTCCACTAGAACAGCAGAATAGAGACAGACGGACGTCGAGAGGGGAAGCCTCCGACACGCGGGATTTGGTTCTCAGACGAAGTTTGGGGGAGGCGGGGTCAGGGCTGCCGCATGCGCTGCAGGTTGAGGTGGAGGAGGATGACGTGGGAAGAAGCCGAGACGATCGAGCACATGGTGTCTCAAATCACTCGCCGGCAATGCAGTACAGAAAAACACATAAACAGCAGGTCTAAGGCCAATCACCGGTTTGCTTTGACCCATTGACAGCATGGCGCGCAACATTGACCTTTTGATGAAGAATTCTTGGTAGTAACAGGTGTAAGATAGGTACTGTTCGTCAAAGTGTCTCGTGAACGAGGACGGTCATAAGGTGCGTGCAGACCGGCGGGGCGCTGATGGACTTGTGATGGAGGAGTCCTTGAGCAACTCTAACTGCCAAACCACTGATTGCCAGTGTACACTCCAAAATTTGCAGACGTTGGCAGGTTATATCAGCTTGACGAGCTTCACATATTTGAAGAGATCAATATGAGCATGGCGCTGCACCCGGCGGTACAGTATACTATACAGGAATTGTCTCATGCAAGTGCGCGCATAGAGTGCCATGCCGGCGGGCCATGGTCCCTCAAGGGGCCCGATGTCACAAATCGGAGGGCTTCGAGAAATTCTATTGCAACCCCTCCATGTCCCCGAGGCCAGCTGTTTGACAGTTTATAAGAGCGCTAACTTCAAGCATGGTCACTGGCAGACATTCTATAAGATAGAGGAGTAAGTGACGAAGGCTCCATTTCCATGTGTGATGCAGCATCGTTAGTCCGCCGCCAAGTCCGTGTGGCGAGCCTCATTGCAATGTTGAAGGACAGGCTTGCTAGACATATACAAGGTAGACATATACAAGGTCCCCAAGAAACGATATAACTTGCTCTCCAGCTGACACCGGTGGAGAGCGCTATCAGGACTACTTTAACCCAATGCACACACAAGACGCTGGATTACTTGTCAGGCTGAAGAACCGAGTGGAAGCTAAGCTGCTTTCTATCCAGTGTGCTGAGTCCTAAGAACTTCCACCACCAGCTAATGAATTCGTTTTCATTTCGCATGGGAAATTGACATTCAGTTGAGCTACTCTTTCTTTGCCTCTGAGAAATATGCATCTAGATCACTGTTCAGCTGCTCGGCTGACGGCGCTGGCGCCCCTCTTCCCCGGCCCCTGCCCCTCCCGCGCACTGCGCCCCTGCCCCTGCCTCCACCCCCCCGGCCTACAGCCGCTGCTCCCCTGGCTGCCCGCCCTCCTCCCCTGCCCACCACTATGCCTGTCTTTCCCCCCCTCCTGGCTGCCAGGCCGGGCCGCTTGGGCAGTGCCAGCCCAAAGCCTGCAGCAACAGCAGCGGCGCCGTCCTTGCGACGCACCGGGATCACCTTCTGCCCCAGGCTGCCCCTTCCACGCCCCCGGCTGCCGCCCCCCCTGACCGCTCCACCATCAATCGGAGCAGGTGCGTGTCCTAGCTCTTCAGGCGCCCCTGCTGCCCCTTTCCGTTTTGCTGTCAGCTTGTCATACCGGCCCTGCGTGGCCCGGTCTGCTGCCTCCGCTCGCCGGATGGCGAGGCCCGCAGCTTTGGCCTTCTCCCGCTGCTGAGCCAGCTGCTTGAACCTTTCATCAAGCGTCGACGGCGCAGCAGCCTTTTCATTGCTGCCAAGGACAAACCGTGGGCCGTCATCTTCTGTAACTGAAGCCTGCCCACCACCCTGTCGTCCCTTTCCTTTTCGTCGAGCCATTTTGTTTTGTTTGAGTTGGATTGACGATTCCAGCTAAGATTAATTTCGGATGCGTTCCTCCCTCGTTGTGACAATCCTGGAATCGTCACCGCGACACACTCTGCAAAAGAGGCACAATTCTCTTTGCCAGCTAGGACCGGACCCAATTCCAGAGCAGAAGAAGCTCAGCTACCTAGGTCCTCCTGCATTCACATGTTCATGAGTTCTGATCTATGCCACTATGATGGCCCTGGGAGATCGACAAGCTGTAGCCTCAGCAGCCTTGGCTTGAGCGGCAGTGTGTTCGTATCATAATAAGATGCCATGCTGACAGAGGGCGGACAAGGAGAATGGTTCTTTTCGGGACCCTGAGCCCGGGGGCTGTTGGAAGGTGCCTTTCCTGACGTAAGAAGCTTGACCAGAGCTTCACGTGCAGATGGCAAGATTGTAACCATCAGATGCATAGGTGCCAAGCATCGAACGGTGTGTCTATCATCGTCGGCCCTCATGGTTCTGGGTCAGACTTCGGGTTTGGCTACTGCAACTTCATTCTGAACTCGGAGAGGATCTACTGGGGCTATGCATCTTGCAGTGTTACATAAACCAGGCATTTTGAAGTCGTACAGTTTGACACACAAGATCCAAAGATCCCGGTAAATGTGACCCCTAGTCACTAAAGGCACCTTCCAACAGCCCCCGGGCTCAGGGTCACCAAAAGAATCATTCTCCTTGTCCCCCCTCTGACATATAACCAGGAAGTTTATCTGTGCTTCAACTTTTAAAACTCTCATTGACCGTAGAGGACGATATATCGGCGATCGATATCGGGTGGTCGGACGAAATTGGTAGTCCCCGGGCGGCTGTCAAAGGGAAGCCCCGGGCAACACTAAAAACCTAGGGTAACTGGCCGCATACACCCTAATGTCACAGGGAAGTGCCCGGTTGTCACCAGGTTGCCCACGAGACCCTAATGTTACAGGGGAAGGCCCGGTTGCTTACCGGGCGGTGCGAGACCCTAATGCTAGTGGGACTTGCAGTGCTGGAAGATTTCCACCGGCTTCTCGTCCTCTACGGTCAATGAGAGTTTTAAAAGTTGAAGCACCGAAAGTTGAAGCAAACTTCCTGCGCATGAGCTGACCGGCGCAGGCATTCTCGTCAGAGGTTACTTGCAAACCTTCAAACTTACGTTCCATTACTGGTGCAGCAGTGGTCGGGGGAGAGGGGCGGGAAGCGAGGCGCCGTATTTGATGTGGACAGATTTCAGGGTGTTCTAGGGGAGCCGCTCTGCTTGACAAGGCCTTCGAAAACTGTTCAACCGTCGCTCTCCCGGGCACTTACGTCAAGAAGCGTGATGCAAACCTCAGCAAAACCGTCGTGAGTTAACCTTGCCTTTGCAAATGAAGTCGATCATGTTGCTGCTGGCTGTGCGTGCATTTCTTGGCAAAATGGCGCCAGCACCTGCTGGGCTCTTACTAGATGCTAGCTAGTGGTAAGCTCTCCAAGCTGGCATACAAAGCTGGCGTACAAACATCAAAGTAAGTGATATGATTTTCCCTACTGGGATCTGATGTGACTCCACAATGATGGAGCACGGCGGCAGTTCTTCGAGGTTGCGCTCTTCCCAGAGTGGTGGCTTTCGCGCTGGTTCCAAGGCCACCCATTATGGACATGCTCCTGGTGTCAGCTCGCTGTCAGCCACCTCGGGGCGGCCCAGTCAGATAGGCGATAGGGAATTGAGCAAGCATGCTCCAATGTCTGCAGCCAGCTCGGCAAAGGCTTCACAACCTGCTGCTTCCAGCTCTGGCAGTCTTTCTTTCGAGCAAACAGCGGTGGCGTGGACGGATATCGAAGCTGGGGAGGCTGTCGGCTCAGAGGGGCCTGCGCAGAGCATCGCACAGAGTATGAGGAGAATGTTTCCCCCTGCACAACCACCCGCTCCGGACAACCAACCTGAACTGTTACAGTCAGCTGTGAGTCGGAGGCCAGCCGGGAATGGGGAGGAGTTTATCATGAGTCCATCGCCACTAGCCATCGCACTAGCCAAAAAAGGCTCCTACTCAAGCCCAGCCGACACACAACCAACAGAGGTAGCAAGCTCTAAGAAAGGCTCAGGAGCTGAGCAGAGGTCGCTGGCGCCTGCTGGTAGCAGCAGGAGGGCACGCTCAATGCGTGAGGCCAGCAACTTGAAGTTGTCTATTGGGGCTGACCATCAAAGCATGACTACTCAGAATGACCGACAAGAACCTTCAAAGGCGTTCAGTCAGAAGAGATCGCTGCTAGATGCACCACTCGCTCCCACTATTCCTGCCCCCACACATTCGTCGGAGTGGCCCTCGTTGCATTCTGGTGCCAGGCCAAGATCGAACAGTGGTCTTTCAGAGCGCCATGTTGCACCACCAAGTGCGAGTCGGCATGGTACAGCAGCGTCGTCTTCAGCAGAGCACCCCACGTTGCAGCAGGGTCCCCCTCAGCTGCCATCTGCAGCCCGCGGCTTTGCTCCTGGAGAGCAAGGAAGACCAGGCCCCATGCACGGGATGGTTGCGGTGCCCCCCATCTTGGCGGAGTGGGTGACCTCCCCCGATGCTGCGGATGTGCTGGCCAAGATCCTGGGAGTGGCACGCGCACGCCTGCGGGGCGTGGAGCAGAACGCTGTGCGGTTTGAAGCAGAGGAGGAAGAGGCGGTGCAAGAAGCGCAGGGGCTGCTGCAGGTGAGACCAAGCTCAAGTAGATAGAGTCAGAGAAGTTACGCAATCTTTCCAAGAGCAGCTTTCTCCTCAAAGTCGGAGCGTCTCAATCAAGTTTGGCAAACCGCTTGCACTGCTCTTTACTGCATTATGCTTGCTCCTAGTAATGGTCGCATTTGGATGTGGAGCACGCCATTTTTAATATGTGGGGGGTTAGCCCTTCGCCCGCAGGCTAGATGTGGAGCATGCCAATAAGAACTGTACAGACACCGGTGGTGAAGGTGGTCGGATGAAAGGCTCAGTTCCGGTCGTTTCCTGTCTGCTGTGTAGAGCCATTTGGATCACAAGGCGGGCGTGGAGGAGAAGCGGCGTGTAAAGCGCGAGCTGGAGCTGATTGAGCAGGAGTTCAGGGACGGGCTGCGCTGTGAATTCCAGGTCCCCCTGCAAGCGCTGCCCCATGTGTTTGGCGTAAATGGCAGCAACCTGGCGCAGGTGAGATGTTGTTGGGGGGTGGTTGCATTTGAACCTGGAGGATGGGTACTGAGGTTCTCTGCTTGCATACTCCAAACGATTGAGTGTAATCACAGTTTGACATAGGTTCATTCTTTCCAAACAAGTGGCATTGTTTGCACGCTCCAAACTTTCACAATGCTAAGTGAAGTGCCTATCATCAGTCTCCTGCCTTGGGGCAATATTGTTGGGGAGCTGATTCTGAGGCCCCTGTTGTTGTCTGGCCCCCCCAGGTGCAGGCGGAGTGCGGGGTGGAGCGCGTGCTGGTGGACTCTGACGAGAGCATGGTGCGCATCGTGGGGCGCTCCAGGGAGGCGGTGGCCGCGGCGCGCTCCCGCCTGGAGTACGACGTGTGGTGCCTGCCAACGGCGCGCGACCTCTTGCAGAGCAGTGGCAACAAGATCGAGGCCCTGCTGGAGCGCGTGCGCACCAAGAACAAGCTGGCGGAGGCAGAGGTGCAGGAGGACGAACAAGGCCCCTGGGTAAGAGGCGACCTGGCACCGTCATATATGCAATCAATTCAGCTACGCTTGGGGCTGAGCCCTCTGCAGTGAAGCTTCGGATTCCCAGTGTCTCTGGCCTCGCTGATGGCCTTCGTTTTGCTGGTGCAACTCCTGTCCCCCTTGACGGCGGGAACAGAAAATCTGCTGAGTTTGCCGAATTTTACAATCCCTGCTGGCTAGAAGATGACCTGAGCGGGGTGGTGGCCTGCAGGTGAGCCTGGTGGGCTGCAAGGCGGTGTTGGCGGAGGCAGCCCGTGTGGTCGAGGGCCAGCTGCAGCTATTCGAGATGATGCAAGCAGAGGTATGGTGTCCTTGTTCCACCATTGACGGACTCTCGCCTTCCCCATCTCAAATGACAGTTGGCGGTCATGCAAGCACTTTCTGGAATGGGCGACTTTCTTTGACAACATGTTAGAAGCCTGTGATACTTCCAGTTATTGCCGGGCAGCTGTTTTCGACCTTTTTTGGGCCAATTCGTGCTTCTGTTCTTGTGGTTTTAGGCAACTTCTCACATTTGGTGTTTCTTGTGCAGGCCGCTGAAGTTGCTGACGTCAGCGAGGAGCAGGTACAGCGGGTCAGCCGCACCTGGGGAGTGCAGCCCCGCTCAGGACCCCCTGCAGGCGGGCCGCCCTTCTTTGCGGCCCCTGCCCGCTTGCCGGCCAACACAGCAAGAGCCCCATCAACCGCGCAGTCCCGGGAGCCAAGGGCGGCAGCACAGGCAACGACTGGCGAGTGGGAGGACATTGAACCCCCATTGATGGGTCCAGATCAGAAGCATGCATCGGGATGGGGGTCGCAGACTGGGAGCCCGGGGCAAGGGCCGGCGGGGAGCGCAGCACGTCCGACTCAACTTGCGCGGTTACAGCCAAGAACGGGAGCAGGAGCGGCAATGGGTGCAACCTCCAATGGGGTCGTGGACGGGACCGCGGGTGTTGCGCCCACAGGGTGGGGCCAAGCTGCAGCAGGTGGTCATCCTGGGTCGACAACTGGGCACCGGACTGGACCTGCACTCGGACAGGGTTCCCTGCCAGCTGTCAGCCAGCCAGCGCGTGAGGCAAGCGGTCCGACTCAAGTGGCGGGAGGGTCTGGTGGGTGGGGAGAGGTGCCGGCGTTCCAGCATGATGTTCGAGGAGGGGCAGAGCCACGGATCGTAACCCGAAGGCCCCTCGCGGCGACCCCGAATCGGCTGGCCGCCAGCGTGCTGGCCACTGTTGTGAGCTCACGCCAGAAGGAGGGGGCACAGATCAGCAGGGGCAGAGGGGGTCTGGGGGCATCTCCGGAGAAGGGCGGTCGAGCAAACAGGAGCGGGGCGGAGGGAGAGATGAAAGGACGGGCGACCGGGGGTCAGATTGCGGCAGCGCAAGGAGCGGAGCAAGATTATCAGGGGAGCAGCCTGGGCGCGCGTGATGAAGAGCCCCCTGGCGCAACTGGCTGGGGGGACACGCCAGCTGCAAACAGTGGGGGACTGCAAGTCGAGCGGGGCAGGGGGCAGATCAAGGAGGCGGCAGCCGAGAGCGGGTTCTGGACGCTGGGGTCCCCTCCAGGCGCCACCCCCGCTCCCCCGCTGGACCAGGAATCGGTCAAGAGCACCTGGGACGCTGCCTGGCCCAACTCTGCCGTCGCAGGGCGCACCAACTGGGGGCAGCAGCGGGGGCCCGAGGGCCAGACGATCCTGGAAGGGAGGGGATCCGCCCAGAGAAGCGGCCCGCCCGGTCCTGCCGCCCCCGCGCCCCTCCCTGGGCCTGCGGCCAGCTCTGAGCATGCCTCCTCGGGGTGGAGAGGGCAGCCGCGCTCGGCCGCCTCAGGGTCTCTCAGCTCGTCTCAGCCGGGGGCCTCCATCAGCAGGGGCGAGCCCAGCACCGCAAGCTCGGGGCCTGCCCCGCGCCGCAGAGTGGAGAGGATCAACGCCAACGCGGTGCCGCCCCCTGACGTGTCCACTCTTCTGCGCGCTCCGTCCGGCAAAGCGGGCGTTCGGCCCGTTCTTGCTGCTCCCTCGTCGGCTCCTGCTGCGGCGGAGCCACTCATCAGCAGGAGCGCGGCCGCTGGGGCTCCTAGCAGGCAGCCAGGTGCTGCGCCGCCAGCCAAGGCCCCCGCGTACAGGCCGGAGGATGCGGTCGTTCTCGTGACTGCCAGCGAGGGGAGCGGCTCGGGGCGGGTACCTCCCCAGAGCAGGCCTCTCATCGGCCGGCCTAGCACCACCCGGTCTCAGCCGCAGGCACCCAAGGCGTCTCCTGTGGTAAGCCTGGAACGGGAAGCTCCCCGGACACCTGCGCAAGACGTGCGGTCCGCCAGCCTGCCCAAGGCTTCCGGTGCCTCCAAAGGCAGCGTGTCGGAGCGGCCTGAGCGGAAGGCGCTGCTGCGGGCGGTGTCATCGGCGTCGAGCACAGGCAGCACCAGCAACTCGAAGCTGGCAAACAGGGGACAGGGGGAGGTCGCGGGACGGGGGAACGGGCCAGGACAGGTGGCGCCCCTGGGAGCCTTCCAAGAGGATACGCAAGAAGGGGCGAACAAGGAGGCCCGACGCTTGGAGCGCACGCAGGAGGAGGCGTCCCTGCCAGAGGGGAATCAGGAACAGGAGGGAGAGCAAAAGATGGTCAGTGGAAGTGCCGAAGGGGCGCACGATCCTATGTCAGCGAGGGTGCACGCTGGGGCGAAACAAGAAGCTGAGGGTAGAGGCGCTTCCGTGAAGTCGGTACGGGGGAGCGAAGTGGAGCCGCTGGGCCCGGCAGAAGTGGCGGAAGCGCGGGATGCAGCACCGGATGCTCCAGGGAGAGGTGAGAGAACCGAGCGGACGGAGGCTGCCACACTACGTGGCCAGGACGGAGAGGAGGGGGCGGTCGCTGGCAGCAGCGACAGCGATGGAGTGCAGGCAGTCGAGCAAGGTGAGGCCGCGACCCCCGCAGGTGGCACCCCTGCAGGAGACAAGGACAAGAGCGCCACAGGAGGGCCAACGAGCGAGTGCGGAGCCGAGGAGCAGCAACCAGCGGCGGATGCAAAGGAACCGGTAGAACTGACCCCCAGGGGCAGTGCGCCAGACTCGGTATCCCCGGGCTTTGCTACGGGTACATTTCCGGCTTCTGCGGCTGCGCAGCTACTAAAGCGGTCCACGCCCCTTCGTGCTGAGGCACCGGAGTTTGTGGCGGGGGCCGCACGAGCGTGGTCCCCCCTTCGAGCTGAGGCCCAAGTCTTTGTTGCAGGCGTGGGGCTGGTGGAGGACCCTGCCGCATCGCACGGGGCCTCAAGAAATGCAGCTTGCCCAGGCCCGAAGGCAGGAAACGAGAGCAAGGCAAAGGACGAGGCGAGAGGAGAGATCAACGGGCGGAGCGGGGGTGGGCAGACCCGCGCGCGGAAGTGGGCCTCAGAGACGAGCGAAGAGGAGCAGCGTTTTGAAGAGGGGCATGCTGCGCAGCACGGGGCCCCGCAGGGAGAAGGACCGACGAGAAACGGCCACGAAGAGGTTGCTCGGGAGGAAGCCGCTTCTGTAAGTCAGCAGGGACGCGTTGCTGGCGGGCCTTCGGGGTGGGGCGACGCGAAGAAGCCGGAGGCGGAGGAGAAACCGTCAAAATGGGGGACAGCGAATCATGTGAACGGAGGCCTGGAGGAGGTGGAGGACCACCCGTTTGCGCAGAGGACGGGGCAGGGCGCGCGGCCGGAATCCGGCATGCGGCCGTGGTCAGACGAGGCGGCGGCTCCGGCTGCGCCGCGCGGCAAGGGCGCGGGCAGCGGTAGCTGGGTGAGCGACGACTCGGGGAGCGTGCGCAGCGTGGGCGTGGACGTGGGCCGCTGGGCGGAGGAGGCGGCCATCAGCACGCTGTCGGAGCACGAGGCGCTGCTGCACGACAGCCCGCACGGCTTCGAGGGCGCCACCGACAGCGGCAGCGGGCGCGGGGGCAGCACGGGGAGCAGCCGCGCGGGCAGCAGCGAGGGGCGGCGCGGGCCGGTGTACCGCATGAAGATGCAAAAGTTCCAGCTGGCAGCCATCAAGGCCAACCAGGTCGGGGGGGGGCCGCCCACCGGGTGGGAGGCCGTGCCCGAGGAGGGGGCCACGCCGGGGAAGGGCCTGCCAGGCACCGAGCCAGGTAGAGATTAAGACTTACTTTAATATGCCAGAGGCTTGCTGCAGATCTCCCTGAGCATCTCACGTGTCACTCCCTAGTCTATCACTTCGTGGTTAGCGTACCCACACCACTGTCCCATGTCTCTCTTTGTTTGGCGGTTGCTAAAACCTCGTGTTCAGGGGGAATATACACCATAGTTTTCGGGTTCCCTTCTACGCGTCTCCTTTCGTGGTGACAGTGAAATGCTCGACTCATCGAAATTTGCAACAGGCACTTTGAAGCCCGTCTGACTCGGGTTGTTTCTCCATACAGGCCCCTCCGTCGCCACTGACGCGCCGCCTGCTGCCATGCATTCCGAGCCTCAGGACGTCCGTGACTGGGTGCGCCCCAAGCTGAGGCCGGACAGAGCAGGCCCTCTGTTGGACACTCCGGGACCCAGCAGGTCAGACTGCCGGCTTCTGATTGTCACCCGCTCATGCAGTCTTCCGTTAACATAGACTCTAAAGAGTCCCCCAATATTCTGGTTTGTGTTTTAGAATGCGTCGCCCTTCTCCTGCTTCCGTAACAGGTTCATTTTTCCGTGCCTCGTCCATCTCGTTCTGCTCCCTGTTCGTCAGCGTTGTGCTTGTTCCAGCTCCACCCAAGCTTACCCGGCCCACTTTTTGCAGCAGGCGGCACTTGCCGGTGCCCGTTCGTGAATCTTTCCTGTTTCCATATTCACAGTTCTCCTGGTCCAGTCGCCTCACTCTTGCGTCTTCTTGCAGGCGGCTAGCTGTGCCCCCTGCCGCAAGAGCGCCCCACAGGGCAGAGCCCGAGAGGCAGGACCGGCCGCCTGCGCCAGCTCAGCCCACAGCCGCAGATGAAAGAGCAGAGCCAGAAGGGGGTTTTCCTGCAGAAGAGGCAGTCCGAGCAACGGGATGGGGTGATGCGGAGGGGGCAGAGCAAGAAGCGTTGGCAGGGACTGAGGAGGTCGAGGCACGTGGTTGGACCGAGCCGCCACGAAGGCGAGAAGAGGCCAGCAAGGCAGGCGCGCACCGGGGGGAGAGGCGCGGCGGCAGGCTGGACGAGAGGGCGCGATCAGCCGAGGTGTACAACGAAGCGAACGGGGGTTCAGCTCAGGAGACAGACGTGGCGGTGGGAGCGGAAGAGCCCGGGGCGCCAACGGGGTGGGGAGGCGACGTGGCGGGGCCGTCGGCAGTGCAGAGTGAGCCGAAGGCGTACCCTCAGGATGAGAGGGGAGCATCAGGGGGCCTGGGTGTCGCGGATTACGCCGAAATTAGCGAGGAGCGCGAGTATGGCATGGCACCGGCAGACGAGGCGCAGCCAACCGGCTGGCCGGAAGAGGGGAAGGCCGAGCGGGGAGGGCCGTACGAGGGGCACACAGGCGTTGCGGCTGGCGAAGCCACGAGAGAAGACCCGCACGCTGACGTCAGCATGGAGTACGAGGAGTCGTGGGACGGCGAGGATGACGCAAGCGCGTCGGAAGCGGAGAGCTCTCCTCGGGGCGGCTTGCAGAAGGCGCCGCTTCGGATTGGGGCGCAGGACGTGCGGCTGGTGGAGGGGACGCTGCCGGCCACAGCGCTCAAGCGCAGCACCGTCAATCCGACGCTGCTGCCAGGGACACAGCGCGGCGCGGGGCAAGCGCAGGAAGCGGCGAGCCGCATGGAGGTCGGGGTGCAGGATGCACGGCTGCTGCCCGTGGAACGGTCAGAGAGGCTGGAGAGATCGGGACAGCGCAAGAAAAAAGACCGGAAGGGGAAGGGGAGCAGGGAGAAGAAGGAGCGGAGGCGCGAGGAGAGGAGGCTCGAGGAGAGGAGGCGCCGCTCGGGTGGTTCGAGAACGCCGCAGGGGGCCTCGCCTGGCGGGGACCTCAGCGAGAGAGGCGTGCTACCCGGTCCTTTGCGGCAGACGCCCGGTGCCAGTGGGAATAACACGCCGTCGCCGTCCCGAGTTCCCCCCTCCGGGTGGAATGCGGGGGGGGGATCCCCGGTGACGCCCGCCAGCATCCTGCAGGCCGTGGAGCAGCCGAGCCCCGGGGGGCGGAGCAGCCGGCTGAGGAAGGAAGGAGGGGGCAGGGGGACCAAGGAGCAGGCACAAACAGCGAATGAAGGACGGACTTGGCAGGACGCGGCAGAGGCGTCCGTGCAAGAGCGGGCCAGCAATCGCGCAGGTGCATCGTTGGCAGCCGACACGGAGGCGGGCATTCTGGGGAAGGGCGGGCCGGTGGCGCCGAGCAGGACGAGCGAGGATTGGCCGCGGGACTCCACTGGAAGACGAGCCAGCAGTCAGCGCCGCAGTGCCGGGAATGCACAGGGTACCCAACCCGATGCCGCGAGAGACGTGAGCCAGGACAGCAGCCACCTACAGCGAGAAGAGGGGTCGTCCCAAAAGCGCGAAGTAGGCAGCGTTGGAATCGAGGCAGCGGGGGGGGGCAAGGAGAGCGACGCTGGGGGGGCCGGGGGTGATGCAGACAAGCAGAGCAGTGGCAGCGGCGGGCAGCGCGGCAGCAGTGGCCAGTCAGCCAAGCGGGCGGTCCGACCGTCGGGAGTGTGGTCTGTGCGAGATAGGCGAGGGACGTCGACCAGTTCTGCGTGAACCAAAGCCGACTTTAGTTTTGCAGGTCACTTTGTCTATGGTGGTACTTGGTTAGATCCGAGTCAAACAGTTTGAGGCGGTGCCAGGGCATGTATGTAGCGGGGCTATGATGCGCAGTGCGTTCCAGTGGTCTTGTTCTGTGTTCAGTCAATGCTGCTATAGCTTGATCTTGATGAATCAATACCTAGTCGACAGCGATAAGCACGCCAGGTACTTGTTTGTGAAACAGCTTTGCTTAACCGCTGGCGGGCCTTTGATAACCTGATACTCGATCGTCCTTCCCACCTTGCTGGTATCTTTTATTGGTGGTCAAAGTGACGTTGAGTTGGTCAAGTCGAACTGAGATAGACAAGCATATGCTTTATCGTGAAGGCTTGATCTCTTTGCTTGGTTGATTGCGGCCCTAAGCAGGTCGCTTTGCCAATTTGATCGAAAGATCGTGACTCAGTGAAATGGTCAATTCTTTCAACAGACTCCCTTGTGACGAATTTTGATCACTCATTGTGGCTTGCATCGCAACGAGGGCCGCCCCGTGTGCATGGCATGTCCGACCAACTTGAGGCGGCTGCCCACGCTGAGCGCAGCGGCAGGCTTCCTGTTACTGTGCGGATCTTCGTGTTAGTGGCTTGGTGCGCAGTGCTGATGCCATGCATGGCGGACTTGAAAACTTGACGTTTTTGACTAATTGCATGTGAGTGACCGTCGCGGCTCGATCCGTTCAATCCAGGAGCAGAGACGTACGTAACAAATAATTGCATATATATGATCGTAAGCTTGAGTCAGCATGCAATCAAAGTCCAGCCTGTCGAATATGCATCAACACTGTTACACCGCGAGCAATGATGGCGACTCGGCGAGAGCTCTGGCCAGGCTCATGGCTGGCACTGTAAGCGCTCGCGGAGTCAGCTGACCGCGAGCCCGGCGCGAGCTGCCACAACTTGTCACGATAAGGATTTGATCGTCATTCGCGCACAAAAATGCATCAGTATTATTGCATCATGTGCGCACATTCCGTACCCACCGTATGCTGCCAACAAGCGACTGGACAGCAAGTTTAGCAGCTGAGGCCCGGGCCAGCCGGGCCCGCGGCCTGTAAGCAAATCACTCATGAGATTGCCAATGTTGGATTGACCTGGATCGGCGCCTGAAGCCTCATTTCATGCATCGTGCGCGCAATGGTGCCATGAATCACATGCTTGTGCAAGGGCATTGTACATGAAGGGTCCATGGGTGAGTCCGGGCGACGATGCCAGCAAATGAATGCATGGTTTGGTATGCAACCGGGGCCCTGCATCATTGCATTCCGCTGCATTTTCCACCTTTGCTTGGTTCAAGATCATGACATCAGATCGATCGCACCATTGCCTGGCACATGGCTTTCATTCGGGGTGGCTCGCGCGTACGAATGTGATTGCTAGACAAAAGGAGGGCCGCGAGCTGCTCGTCCGATCAGGAAGATGGGGCGAATGTACGGTCAGACCTGCGACGTGTGACTATTTCTATGTTCGTCCCATCTTCCTGACGAGCAGCGCGGCCCTGTTAGTACGAGACAATCATTGCTTTGCGGACTGTCTGGGCGAATATTGAAGGCCGGTATCAGCGAGTTGTTGACCTTTCTAGCTTACGCAGCCCTTGCAACTAATTTACCGAAATGCGTCTTCAGGGAACTTTCTGATCGACATATCGCTACACATATTGATTCGACGACTTGAGGCACGTACATTTGACTCGTCAAAGTACGCAGACCTCATCTCAGAGGTCTTTGGTGGGAGTGACGGCTTCCACCCTCTCTGGTTGCTGAGACCTCCGTACGGCTTGGCTCGCAAGATGGCCCGCTTGCCGTTCCGCTAGCTGCAGCAAAAGATGAGGCACGGCCTGACCAACATGACAGAGCTCTCCTTCTAAGCCGAATGCAGGATTCTGGCCTTCCATGCTGCCTCAGGCATTTAAAGCACAAGACGCGCAGTCGAAGGCCAGAAGCAAGTTCTTGAAGTGAGTTTGCTAAATGTCGAGCGCGAGTTCGACGGCGCACCTTTTCGAAGTACGTCCGTGGCCGTGCTGTCCTCGGCCGCGCTGTGGCCGGCCGCGCCGCGGGCTGTTCCGTCTGCACCTCCATGCACACTGCCGGCGACGCCGGGCGCGCCGACTGCGGCCGCCTCGCACTCATGTTTGCTGCTTCTCCCTCCTCTTCTCGCTTGCCGCGGCAGCCCGCGCTCTCTTCTCCGCCATTCCGCCACGCGCGAACAGCCTCCAGGAAGGAAGCCTGGTTGCGCTCCTCGTCGAAGTCGCCGTCTAGGAGGGAGCCCCCAGGCTCGCCATTCCGCGCGCTCGTGCTGCCGGGGCGGTCGCGGGCCTCCGAGTACTGGGCCTGCATCCAATGAGACAAATATGGCTCGAACATGTAACGAACGAGTGTCTCATCATGACCGCACCAGACATCGAGAAAGTCGCGTGCTGTGGACCTGGTAGATAAGGATGTGTCAAGACTATCCTGAACGACAAGGGCGCGCTTAGTTGCTGCCCAGTGCATTGGCGTCCAGCTTGGTGATGTTGCCTCTTACCGCTGGGTCGAAAGTTCTCCTTGGTGCGCCGGGCCGCTCTGTCTCCCCGGCTCCGCTCTCAGACGCTCTCTTCGGAGAAAGTGGGGGCAGCTTAGCGGGTGGCCGCCGAGGTCCAACGCCAATCCGATAGTCTGCAGGCAATCTCCCGCTGTATTAGACCCATCCAAGCAACCCTGTCTTCGAAAACGCTTGTCAAAATTGCATCCTCATTGTCATTGACACAGTCTTGAACCGTAAGATTTGGTTCTCACCTGGCATGCTACTCGTCTTGAATCCGGATGCTGTATATGCTGACCAGGACCCAGCTTTCTTGGGGCCTGCAGATGCAGGCAAAGGCCCGCTCACGTCTCTCGTGATCTGCTGCAATGGGCCGGGCTGCAGACAGTAGGTCCAACGTTCAGAGACACGGGTAGAAAGTGCACCACCGTTAAGACGGGCAAGACTGTCGAGCAAGCGGTCCATGGAGTCAAATGGCAAAGCAATGAGTGACCACCTTTGACAGGCGACTGCCAAGACACCTCATCATCCAGCTGTTGCACGGAGTCGCCTAGCATTCAGCCACTTTGAGGAAAAACTGATGCACTTTGCCCTACATCAGCCCCCACTCTGAGGTGCAATCCTCTTGTGCATCACAGCATTGTGCGCGCAGTGCGGCGGCTCACCCTGGCGCTGCCCCAGATGCCGCCTGTAGTAAGCGCACGGCGCACTTCGTCCCGCTTGTGCATCTCTTTCTGCATCGCCTCCCGCAGCTGCCGCAGCTTCCTCTCCAGCTCCGCATTCTCCTCCGCCAGCACCGAGCTCGCCTCGTGCCGCCGCGCCTTCACGCCCTCGCTCGCCGACAGCGAGTGCCTGCAGGAACGCCGTAAAAAGGTCTGACCACCTGGACCAGCTACTAGGGCACACAGCTCTCGTTGGTTCACCTTGAGCTCTGTTTGAGCCGGACGTGCCTGGAAGAGATGTAATCTCCACCTTTATTCCGGGACCAGCAAGCTCTTTGATGGTTCTCAGAAGGGCGTAACTTTCTTCAACAATACTTGTGGTGCCTTACCTGCGCTGCGTTGCCATCCTGCTGACTGAAGTAGGCAGGCTTGCTGGTGGAGTTGCAAGCCTCAAGGGTCCTTTGCTCTTCAAGCTAGCTCGTTTCAAAACACTGTGGCTGGATCCAGTGCAAATGGGCGCAAAAGTTGCGATCTCAAGGGCGGCCTTTCTTGGGGTTTTGCAAAGCTTATATCTGCAAACCTTCAACCCGAGCTTACTGATTGTGCAACGGTACAGATGAGCAGTGTCCTTTTTGCAGCCTCGTCAAAGCTCGATTTGAAGGCCACCCGTAGCACCAGACCTTTTGTTTATTGAGCCCAAGAGCTCCTTCCGTAATACGTTTGAGATGCTTTCCACGTTCGCAGTGTTAAGTTTACAAGTTTGCCCTCGTGAAGTACTGCGCATCGGGCAATTCAATGATCTTGAAGGCAGCCTTTTAAGGCTTCAGGGCTTTGAGTTGTACGGATCCCTATGGTCAAGCAGGACCTAGGGCCCCTAGTAGCTAGATAGGTACCGTTGTACCGTAAAGATCCACAAGTGTGTCAACTACCACCCGTATGTACTCTGTCCATGCCCGTCGACGCTCAGCTATTTATTTGCAGCCGTCCAAACTCTTCATCGGACTGCTTTGATTGGGCAGAAACGCAGCGGAGGATGCAGTCACTGACATCAAAGAACCGGCTGACGTTTCACCGAGCCGGTTATGAACAGCAAACTCTTCAACCTCAGGACGGCGGACGGCAGGAGACGGTTCATATGGGCACCTCGGCAAAATTGAAAAGGTCTGCACCATCGCAAAATGTAAGCAGCAATGCAGGCAGGGGATTGCGCGGGCGAAAACCTCAACGGCAGACCTAGGGGGGAAGACAATTCCTGAATCCTCACATGGTAGGATGGCTTCAGCGGCGTGCCTTGTGGTTTCAGCTCCTGTGGCAGGCTGTAGTATGACATTGGACAGGCAGAACCTTACAAAATGTGAGGTGCGGGGCCTGCATCCATGCAATACGGTAGCGTCCAGCGCCCTCCGGAGTCACCCGTCCTTGCTTCCCTTTGAGGGTCCTCTGGCCCTTGTACAGTCCCTGCTGGTGCAGTCAAGAAAGCTTGGCAAGAGCGCACCACGCGCACTCCGGCAAGCATACAAATGCTGCTCAGGTGGTGAATATAATACCTCCTCAAAAACAAAGCCCCGAATAGGAGAATCTAATCCTCAAAAGAGAGAAGCAGCTATGGGTACAGCCAGGTTGCCCGATGATGTGGCCCAAAATGTGTATGCTAAAGGGGAAGAAGGTGTCCATCTTCATCGCCGAACAATTTCTGTTTCGCTGGGCGCTGCTGTCAGCAGCATTCTTGCAATTGGGTCTACACTGGAAGGTGCTGCAGCGACTTCAGAGGGTGACCAGAAAACGAGGCAGGGTGGCGCCACTACCGACAAGGGCAGTAAGAAAGCCAATGTGTTTGAGCTGGAGGGCGGGATCAAAGCTCTGGACGTGCGGATAGGCACTGGGCCAAATCCCAAGGAGGGGGACAAAGTGAGCACAGCCAGCCCTGTTGCTTGGTGGCAGTACTAGCAAAAGCACAGCCTCTTTGACAGCAAAAAGCTGCACCTCAGGGACAGAGTTGACAGCGTTTTGAAGTCACTTCTGTCGTGTGATTTTCAAGCTTCGACCCTGTAAAGTTCCTCCTGGTGGTTGAGCAAATGATATGCCCCAGAGTACTTCTAGCCTGTCGGATTTATTCCTTGCGGCTAGCATGTTCAATTGAATCTCAGATGATTTCTATTCCTCAAGGCCCTCACCTGGCCCTCACCTGAGACCTTTCGTCTGCAGATTGCCATCCATTATTATGGCCGTCTTGGCGCCAAGCAAGGCTGGCGATTTGACTCGTCATATGAGCACAAGGACCTGTTTGGAGTTCCAGAACCATACGTTTTCACCATTGGATCGGGGCAGGTGCGCTTTCTGGATGACAATTTCCGCTTTGGGCTGGAATGCCAGTAAGAGCGAGACAATCATGGCATCCTTGCTACATCATCTGACGATTTGCTGAAACTCTTTTCTGGAGTATGCTCAAAAGTTGGTGATCACATGAGAGACATCGATCCACTGCTGCTTAGATGTGAGGTGCTTTCTTGAAAATGAGAGTCAAGGAGTACCACGGGCGTCCTTTCCCCGCTGGCCAGAAGTAGTTTTCCAGACAACGTCAAAGACGATCTTGAGTGGCTGCCGCACAGATAATGTCTGCTCGGACTTTCAGTATATCATAGCTTTTAGACCATCACAGATACTGCTCTTATGACAGAATGTCTTGAAAGGCCTGCATCGCAAAGCAATAAGATGTCGGGTTATTCTAGCCAGAAAAATGGAACTCACATGGCTGCGGTTTGATGATTGAGGAAGGATATCGTGCATGGTTGGTCGGCTGTGAAAGACGAGGTGCATCCCAACACTCAGTTTGAATCTAGCATGGCCACCTTTCACGACCTTGAAAGTGAATCAAGTCTTCTGAATCTTTTGGTTGGTTTTCAACAGTTACTGACTTCCTCGCTTGCAACGGTTCTCTCATGGCTAGTAGCCGAAGACCCAATTGCCCACCATTTGTCCTTATTTATCACTAAGGGCGCGAGCTCTTCTTAACCAGGGATGAAATGCAATGCGGGCAGACAACCGTTTGAAGGGCTGCCAGTCTCGACGGTTCTGGCAACCACAGGCGGTAGAGACTGATCAACTCGACTGTAGAAAATCATTAGTAGCTCATGTTACCATGCAGGTCATTGCTGGCATTGACACCGCGGTTCGGAGCATGCGAGTGGGCGGCATCAGGAGGGTCGTAATTCCGCCCGACCAGGGCTACCAGAACAAGGAACAAGGACCAGTGCCGCCAGACGTAAGGACGCCCTGCAAAGCAACAGAACTCGCTAGATAATCACTTGGGTCCTGGATCAAATTCACGAAACGTCTGATAACCTGAAGTGCCTCAAATGAGTCGCCGCGGTCGGCCTGTTGGAAAAACCTGCCACGCCTTCTTTCATCTGGAGAAGCCCCAGTTGGTCCTTCTGGCTTGAAATTTTGCAACCCGCAAGTTTTGTTGCCACAAGGCTTACGCTTAGTCTTGCAGGTTCAATGAGAGGGCTCTGTGAACTTCTGTGAGACAACCTCTTTGGAAGGTAGTTGGTCAGGTTACATATGCTTAAACGTCCCTGTGTTCTTCGAATGGCACAATTGCTGATGCTTATTGACCCATGCGCTAAGCAGGTTGCAGTATCGCCCATTGGCGCACATTTGCATAGCACCTAGCTGACTATTCGACATCTTCAATTTGAGCGTTACGAAAAAGCTGACAATGCTCCTCGAGCTTCGATCCGCCACTTCTTAGTTTGAGACGGAAACTCTTCCCCCATTTTTTGGTATGCGAACAGGGGCAGCAGGCTGGTCAATCCTGTTTTGGTCAAAACTGCTGCGGTTCTTGAAGTCCATGACACAGCCACATCAGACCGTCAGCTCTATTTGTTTTGTATATTATCGTTTGCCACAAGCTGGTAATCAGTCGTTTTTACTTTTGACTGCGCGGCAAAGTCAGAAGGGTCGCGCACTTATGGTCTAGGGCGCAGTAGAGTCGAGTATATGAGTTACATGATGCTCTTTGTTCGAACAGCGAAGGCCATTTCTCTTATTGTCTTCTGCAGTTCTTTGATCGGCAACGACTTTACACGACCATCTTCAACCCAACAAGGCTAGCAAACGGGGAGGGAGCAACTCTAGGAACGGTTATCTTCGACCTCGAGCTCGTCCGGATACAGTCGTGAGGAAAGAACAACTGATCGACTTGTATGCAGAACCCGGGTGGACACCAAACGACTGGCTGCAGTGTTTGTGCAGATTTCTTCAGCAGCATATAGGCCTGAGGGTCGGAGCATACAGATAAGTTTGCAGTAGATTGATTGCTTAGTAAGCAGAGCTAGAACTTACCTAAGATGACGTACATAAAATGCTCTGATGTGTTGAAATAGCTGAGTGCGGTACGGTGCGTCAAGACCGAGCCGCCTGATAAGCCGAACGAACAGAGTTGCAACATCATGCAGCTTCTCAGGCGTGTACTAACCGCACTCAGTAGAGAAGGTTGATGCTTATTCTTTTAGAGCTTCTCGACCGACTTGAGAGGAACACGGGCGCGGAAAAAGTAATCTGTATGTCAAGCTCAGTGCATGCGCAATTCCGATTTTCTAGCCTATGAGACCTGCGAGCCTCCGTATGCATACTGTTGGATTTCCAATTTTTGAATTTGATAGCTGATATCGCAATGTGCATCGGGCGGCACATAAGCTCATGCATGGTTACTATACAAAAGACGAGCACACATATGTCGTCGATGTTCGCCGGATTTTAAAGACTTCAAGAAAGCTGATATCAATGCTCTATTGACTTAAGCTCATGTCCTCATTTAGTACCGTTTATGACTGAAGGCCGGGGATACAACATGCTTTAAGCTGTGCTGAGCTGAGTGATGATCGTTGATCGAGCACTATATAGCTAGGTATTACAATCCAATGTGCATCTTCGCGACTTGCATGCACATGCACATGCACTCTTCTTTGCCTCGAGGAACAACGAGCTCATAGTCTCATACTATCACTTACCTCGCATGGGCCTCGCATGCATGGACCGGGAGGGGTCCGTGGCAAATTAGCGAGCGCGGCGCTGGCGAGCACGACTTAATAACACTATCTATTGTAGTACGGTATAAGCTAGTAGCAGAGTAGTAGAATCCAACCAGTTTAAGCTCTGAGTCTGAGGGTCCATGCATGGATCTGCAATTAAGCTACAGAAGCCTACCGCCGTAGAGCCGTAAGTATAGGTAGTGGACTGTTCATCATGCCGCAGTGCTTCAATCTATCAATCGGAGTCGATGATCTATCAGATTGCAGTACTACGAAGTTCGAACCCTTCTCTGCCAAACTTGGTTTCGGCCGGCCGTGTACTGCAAAGTTGGATCTATCGGACGGCTGAGAACAGGATTTGGCCGGTGCTGACTACACGCCACCTGTCCAATCATTGATGCGTTCGATGGGATCCCCCGGGAGCAACGTCAGAGCAAATTGAAGCACGGAACTACAGACCGGTAGCTACCGGTACAGCAGTGTGCACCGGCAGTCCTGCTGAGCTGTGTCACTGTGTCACAGATTGTCAAGATGTCGTTTCTCTCGATGCACACTGCACAGCACAGGGTGTACCTATTCTTGCAGACTGCACAGCACAGATCTTGCAGACTCCAGCATTCCAGCTTCTACCGGTATTTCTGCAGCGAATCACAACTTTCTAAAACAGGAAAGGACAGTTCTTGAAGCGCTCGCGGCTCACCCGACATGGCAATCGATAGGAACGCCGTCGTTTCCGGTGCGAGACACCACCTGGCAATAGCTTTGAGCTTTGCCTTTTTCCTGGTTGCAAGTCCCCTCTGCTCTGCCAGCCAGGACCCGGCTCTCTGCCCTTTCGAGCTGGGTTACAGTCCCACATTCAATGAGGATGGCACACAGCTTTCCTGCAACAAAGGTGAGGGTTTTTTGCGCAGTGTTCTGCTCTGCCTATGTTTATATGCTTAGCCATTTTGCGGGAGGGCATAAAGTCTCGCAGCTTATGCCGTTGTCGTCGGAGGTCAACAATGCCGAACTGCTTCTTGATGGAAAAGGGAACTAGATTCTGGCGGGCGCTGTGTCTGTTGCGGACCATCAAGATTGTGTGCAGTATCGGAAAAAGGAAAAGGCATATCCAAGTACCACTTCTTTGGATTGGGGTAAAAGTATTGTTCAGGAACCTGAATTGCATACAATTCTTCTGTGAATCTCTCTACTTCTCTTGCCGCTCGTTTAGATTGTCTGCTTTGTTGCAAGTCTTCTGAATATCAAGCAGGCTGCTCAGCTGCAGAATCCCTTAGGCTCCGCGCCTTACCACCGTTTCAAGCTTTCAAGTTGTGACTTTATCGCTGTTCATATTCTTGAGTTCTTTGTAAAGAAGATGTTTGAAAAGGTGCCTCGTGCTGCCTTTGCTAGATGTCAGACCGTTCTGCACGCCCAATTGGTTTCATCCTATTGCATCCTGTTGGCTTGACCTCCATAGCAGAATATGGAGGTCAAGCCAACCCTCGAGCAATATTGCGCTAAAATTCCTCAACGACAGCATGTGAACCAGCTTCTCAATCGAATGATGTTGCCCAAAACATCTGCCCCTGATGTTCAGTGTACCTGATACTTAAAAAGACTCCGCACTCAATTGTCGAAGGATTCTGAGATTTACAATGGCCAAGCAGGATGCAAAGATCAAGAATCGGAGGAACAGAAATTCTGGACTCCGGACTGGTGAAATTTGGGAAACTTCTGCAATGTTGGTGTTATATCCACATCTCACCGTCATCAAGGATTCTTTCTTGTCACCTCAACATATCTTTGATGATACATTCCATGCAAATCCTAAACCTGGTTTGCATCTCAAGGCATTCTCTCAGCCAGGCCCCCTCACAACCCCTTTCCCTCCTTCAATTGTTCGCCAACAGCCACATGGATTTGGTTATCAGAGTAAAAGTACTTGATTATCACTCTTTCCTTCTCTGTTTGTAACTTCCACAATCTCCAATCAAAACCTGTGACAACAAATCACCGTGTGTCCAAAAAGCTCACGTCTTTCTCCTTTCTGACTATCTCAATTGCAAATTTCTTGCTGGCAGTTATTCTCATTCTATCATTCTTGCTACTTTACCTTGCGCAGGTTCTGAGTCCTTCCTTGTGGACCCCGATGGCACCAATGCTATCGCGCTACGCAATGTCGGCACGAGCGTGAAGCAGCTCTCATACGGTGCCCTGATGCTCTCTCAGGAGCTCTTCTGCGAGTACACTGATCCGAATGCTGTCTTTTACCTGCCTGATGGAACCCCAACTAAGGATGGAGACCCTGCCCTAGGGGCCTTCCTGTTCTCCTTCAAGTTTCCCCCAGGAGTCGATGTCAACGGAGTCTTTGCCGTGAGCAATTCATCAACATGCGATTTATTATATCTGTGTGATGTTCCTGAAGGCAGATTCTTCCTGCAAACCAGGCCTGTTCTTGATCTGCTGGATCCGAGTAGCATTTTTCCGTTCTGGATCTCATTCGTGGTTCGTCTTTCTTGTCCAGCTCATTAGCTCTATGGTGATGACTAAGATAATCGCCCTCTGCAATTTCTCCGGTGGGTTCTTGGATGATAGTTCAGTGCTTGAATGAGAAGGTCCTGGGACAGTTTGGCAAAAGTTCCTGGACTCTTGTCGATGTTGGGGATTTCCTCAACCCAAGGAACAGCCTGTCAACAATATCCGAACATGGGATTCAGTTCTTGCCAGTGGTCTGCAAGCCGGTGTCTCACATTAGTTTGGCACCGGTCTTGTGGGCTTTACCATGCACAACCCGTGGTCATAGTCAAACAATGTTGCATGCTAGTTTTCATCCTGAAGACGTCGCCCAAGACAGGCAACGTCGGGCCTGCTTCGCCGAGTCTGCAATGGAAGCGCACTTCTGAGCGACTATGGCAGAAGGCTTCTTTGGAAAGGCCTAAACAAAGCCCCGACAGTCGATGACTCGTACTTTTTTGAGGCCCAGCCCGAGCCACTGTCCTCCTCCATGTATGCAGGTCTCCAACTTTCAGTACCTAGGTGGCTCTCCTCCCAGGGTGCACGTGGACTGGTGGATGTTCACCCTCAACTTTGACGTCCGCTTTGACACCATTTTTCGTTATGACAGCGATGAAGAAAGCGACGAGGCTAAGTGGAAGCAATACATTTCTGTATCAACGGTCATACCAAAGTGAAGGAAGATGATAGGAGTTGTATATGTTAACACTGCCTGGCGAGAGTTGCCGTGGGGAATACCGATAGTTCCGGCCGGTTTTGAGTAGGTAAACTTAGTCAAGGAGTGGATATTACTTTCGAAAGCCAATGACAATAGCCATGTTGCTGCCCTGCTTGCGATAGTCAACAAGTTGAATCACACGGCTAGAGACGGTCGCGCTTTTTAATAAAGGATGCAAAATCTCTAGCTACGATCAGAAAAGCGCAACGTGTCAAAAATAATGTTTTGCTGGCAAGAATTCTAAGCTTCAGAGCGTATATGGTAGAAGCGAGTCACATCAGACATTAGGTAAGGAGTTAAGCACTGAGGCGATCGCATGGCCCGAAGGTTGCTGCTATCACTGAGCCAGCTAAAGCACATGCATGCGCTTAATATATATTTGCTAAGCTTGTATAGCGGAGGATTTTCGAGGATTAGTATGCATGTCATATAATGAACAAGCCTGCAGTTGAAGCGGTTTCCCCCAAGTATTCCCCAATTAGCGTCCT